CACACACACACACACACACACACACACACACACACACACACGAGAGGGAGAGGGGGAGAGAGAGAGAGAGAGAGAGAGAGAGAGAGAGAGAGAGAGAGAGAGAGAGAAGGGGGTCTCTGGATTCTCCTAGAAAACGTTGCTGGACATAGCCCAAGTCTGTGCCAGTGTGTCTGTCCTGATTCTCTGCGTGTGTACCTGTCATCTACACCCTGTATGTGGTGGTGATCCTAGGCAGTAAGTGTACATGTGCAGAACTGTGCTGGGAGTGTCCTGAGGTCAAGCATGTCACATGTGGCCTGTGTGTGTATACGCACTCACGCTCGAGGTTGGGGGGGGCACTCCGCCCCCTTCTCAGATGTCTTGGCTGTGGCTTTGACAACTGAAACCCAGCTGCGCTCTGGCTGGGGAAACATCCGCTGTGGAAACCTAGAGTCTGACAGTCCCCAAAGAGGGCTTCCACATGCTGCCAGCGAGCGCGCCTGGCCCTTCGCCTAATTCCCTGCAAATGCGCCTTAAGTCTGTTTCTAATTTGGACTCTGCCTCCTCCACCCCCACCACACCTCCCCTCCCCTCGCTCCCAGCTTTCCCCAACCCCGTGGAATTATGCTGAATAACGACTGCCGAGGGGCGGAGAATGCGAAAGGCCAACGGTGGACTGTTGGAGGGTGTAATAATGTCACATTCTTATTTACACAGGGATCGGCTCAGGAATCAAAAGTCATAAATACTTTGGGCTAACACTGCAGGTCATGCCGCTTCAGGGAAGAACTCGGTAACGGTTCCGCCCCCGCTGCCCTCTCCGTGTGGAAGAAAGCCCACGTGCCTCTGCCGATGATGCAGAACAAGGGGATGTCTTTCCAAGGAGCTGTGCATCATCAGCGAGGATCTCAGCTGTCCGAGCAGCGCCCAGATGCTCTGGGTATAAAAGGTTCCAAAGCAAAATAGGCCTTCCATATATGTTTGCCGTCACGTGACCAGCCCAGCGCCCGGAAGCCCCAGCTCGTGGGAAAGTATATACAAAGCTGAAGGAGGAGAAGGGGGGTGGGGGTGGAGCTTTTATGTACATAGACACTGCACACACTGACAGCAGCTTGGAAAAGCTTATCCAAGTAGAGAAAGGTGGGGTGGGTGCCAGAGACACTGATCGGAACTTGTTTGTGTTGGGGGGCTGGGAAGCGATGGCAGACGTCGTTGTTTTGAGGCCTAGTGTGCATGTGGAAAGAACCCATGAGTTCTCTGAAGACAGCGGACTCGCCCTTCCCCACCCCCTTGGGTGCCTTGCAGACCAGTGAGCAGGCAAGAGGCCAGGGAGGACTTGAGTCACCTGGGCTTTGTGGCCAGGTAGCCGAGGAGGCCCAGAGGAGGACCGAGTCATGCAGGACTCGGTGAATGAGCACCATGTGCTTCCCATCCCCCGGCCCTGAGCGCCTGCAGCTGGCGTGAGCCGGAGGGGGCCCGCCCGCCGCTGCCGGACCTGGCAGGTTGCCTGTCCCTCAGCTGGCTTGGCAATTGTGGGAAGGTGGGGTTTGCAGCCTTGAGGCCACCAGGGAAGCTGTGAGGCTGTCAAGACCCAGAGCCACACGCTTCTCCATCTGGCTGCCAAGGAAGCAGGGAAGGAGCTGTGTGGAGAGCAATGACACCCGGAGGACGAGGCTCTCCTTTCCCTACCGCGCCGCAGGCAAGGCCACCAGGAAGCCTCGGGAAGAAAGGGGCGGATGTGGCCACTCTTCTGTGTGCCCAGGGCCTGTCTCCTGTTTCGCCCACCAGACCCCTCCTGTCTTTCCCGTTTTTAAACTGTTGCCATTTACTCGGTTAGGTGCGGCGCCGACGGCCAAACCGGTGTTTAGCGCCAAGGGCACATCCGGAGATTCTATCAGCAGAGAAGGCTAGCTGGCTGAGACTGGTCCTCCCCCGCAACACCACCCGCCCTGGAATTAGCTGTTCCCTCACAGTTCCCAACCCCTGCAAGGACTCCCGGGACTCGGTTCTGACTCACCACGTCTTTGAGTAGAGGAGAGGGTTACAACCCCTAGAAACTTCCCAGGGAGTGTTTTCCGAGCTTTGTCCTCTTCTGCCCAGACGGGACAAGGATGATCTGACCTTGGGGAACACAGATTAAATACAACAGCTGC